ACTACAGGTACCCGCCACAACTCTCAGCTATTTTTTTGTTGCAGTTTGGCCAGGGCCAGGTTTGAACCCACCACCCCTCCGTGTATGGGGCCAGCACCCTACTCACGGAGCCACAGGTGCCACCCTGTACTGGTTTTAATTAATATTTTCTTCATGACTATTTGTCTTTATATATAGCTATGATACATAAAGGAATGTTATTCCTTACATTGGGAGTTGGTAGGTGGTAAACATGGTTTAATGTTGGAGAACTATTTTCTTTTTCTGAGGCAGACTGAGTATAGTGGTATCATCATGGCTCATTGCAAACTGAAATTCCTATGCTCAAGCAGTCCTCCTGCCCCAGCCTCCCAAGGGACTATAGGCAATGTGCCATTGTGCCCAGCTAATTAGTTTGGTTTTTTTTTTTTTTTGAGACAGAGTCTTGCTCTGTTGCCTAGGCTAGAGTGTCATTGCCTTCTCCTACCTTACTGAAACCTCAAACTCCTGGGCTCAAGCAATCCTCTTGCCTCAGCCTTCCAAGTCCTAGCTGGGACCATAGGTATATACTACTACAACTGACTAATTTTTCTGGGTTTTTTTTTGTAGAGACAAGAGTCTTACTTTATTGCCCTCAGTAAAGTGCCAAAGCATCATACTGCTCACAGCAACCTCCAACTCCTGGGCTTAGGTGATTCTCTTGTCTCAACCACAGGTGCCTGCCACAATGCCTGGCTATTTTTTTGTTGCATTTCAGCTGGGGGCAGGTTTGAACCCACCACATTCGGTATATGGGGCTGGCACCCTACCCACTGAGCCACAGGTGCCGCTTTAATTTTTCTGTTTTTATTAGAGACAGGGTCTTGCTGTTGCTTAGGCTAGTCTTGAACTCCTAAGCTAATGTGATCTTACTGCCTTGGGCTCCTCAAGTGCCAGGATTACAGGTGTGAGCCACCATGTCTGGCCTAGAGACAGGGTCTTGCTGTTGCCCAGGCTGGTCTTGAACTCCTGGCTTCAAGTGATCTTAGTTCTTTGACCTCTCAAAGTGCTAGGATTGCAAGTGTGAGCTATCATGCCTAGCCAAGCCCTCTTCTTATTTTTTAGTAATGAAATGGAGAGAACTGGAAGAAGGGTAGGAAAATTTGAGGTTATTGGAATGATTTATGAGGCTGATTGGAAGTTGGAAATGAAGTTAAACAGGTTTGCTTGCGTGATCAAGACAGTCACTATTGGAGGAAGAGCAGTTCAGTTCTGCATCTTGGTAGACAAGCTTAACTGAACATGGTACCATGTGCCTATATAGTCGTACCTACTCACAAGGCTGAGGTAGAAAAATCCCTTAAACCCAGGAGTTTGAGGCCAGCCTGGGCACTATAGTAACACCCCATCTCTAAAAATAAGCAAATAAATAAAAATTGTATAAAAATCCATAAGAGGGGCTCGGCGCCACATATACCTAAGGTGGCGGGTTCGAATCCCCAGCCCGGACCCACCAAACAACAATGACGGCTGCAACCAAAAAATAGCCGGGCGTTGTGGCGGGCGCCTGTAGTCCCAGCTACTTGGGAGGCGGAG